GGAACTTCGGCAGGAAGAGCATAAGAGCAGCTACTAGATGGTTCGATTAGTCTTTCGCCCCTATACCCAGATTCGACGATCGATTTGCACGTCAGAACCGCTGCGAGCCTCCACCAGAGTTTCCTCTGGCTTCACCCTATCCAGGCATAGTTCACCATCTTTCGGGTCCCAACAGCTATGCTCCTACTCAAACCCGTCCGAGCACTTCAGGGTCGGTCGATTGTGCGCCTTGCGGCTCCAACCTCTTACTTTCATTCCGCGCTGGGGTTTTGCACCCAAACACTCGCATAGACGTTAGACTCCTTGGTCCGTGTTTCAAGACGGGCGGCTTGCAACCATTACGCCAGCGTCCTAGAATCGCAGGCCTCGAAAAGGGATGGAGGCGTCAACACGAGCTATAACACGCGCGCCCGAAGGTGCGCGCCACATTCTCGAGTTCTTGTTCCTCCCCCCTTTTCGACGCTGGCCCGGTAAAACCGTGTCTGCTTGCAAGCCCTTCCCTTTCAACAATTTCACGTGCTGTTTCACTCTCTTTTCAAAGTGCTTTTCATCTTTCCATCACTGTACTTGTTCGCTATCGGTCTCTCGCCAATATTTAGCTTTAGATGGAATTTACCACTCCACTTAGAGCTGCATTCCCAAACAACTCGACTCGTCGGAGCCGCGGTGTACAAAGAGTCGGCGTGCGCCATACGGGGCTCTCACCCTCCCAGGCGCCATGTTCCAATGGACTTGGGCGCGGCCGACTCAGACCACGAAACCTTCAAATTACAATTCCCGCAGGATTTCAAATTTGAGCTTTTGCCGCTTCACTCGCCGTTACTGGGGCAATCCCTGTTGGTTTCTTTTCCTCCGCTTATTGATATGCTTAAGTCTCAGCGGGTAGTCCTACCTGATTTGAGGGCGAAATGTCGTGCTGTAAACGTGTTTGACAGCGCGGCTTGATATTTCGGAGCAACGCCTAACCGGGGGTTAGAGGGGATGCGACGCTCAAACAGGCATGCCTCGAGGAATGCCTCGAGGCGCAATGTGCGTTCAAAGATTCGATGATTCACGTCTGCAAGTCATACTACGTATCGCAATTCGCTGCGTTCTTCATCGATGCGAGAACCAAGAGATCCGTTGTTGAAAGTTTTGATATTAAGAAATTCGAATAAAAAAATTTATTTTTTTTGTTCGCAAAAACAATGTGTAATGTATTTTTTAATGATCCTTCCGCAGGTTCACCTACGGAAACCTTGTTACGACTTTTACTTCCTCAAAATGACCAAGTTTGACCAGCTTCTCCGTCACCGCCAAGGTCGCCCTCGGCTTAGACAAATCCGGAGGCCTCACTAAGCCATTCAATCGGTAGTAGCGACGGGCGGTGTGTACAAAGGGCAGGGACGTAATCAACGCAAGCTGATGACTTGCGCTTACTAGGAATTCCTCGTTGAAGAGCAATAATTGCAATGCTCTATCCCCAGCACGACGGAGTTTCCCAAGATTTCCCAGACCTCTCGGCCAAGGTCAACTCGCTGGCTCCGTCAGTGTAGCGCGCGTGCGGCCCAGAACGTCTAAGGGCATCACAGACCTGTTATTGCCTCAAACTTCCATCGACTTCAAGTCAATAGTCCCCCTAAGAAGCGCGCGCCAGCACAAGGCTAGCGGCGCTATTTAGAGGTTAAGGTCTCGTTCGTTATCGCAATTAAGCAGACAAATCACTCCACCAACTAAGAACGGCCATGCACCACCACCCACAAAATCAAGAAAGAGCTCTCAATCTGTCAATCCTTATTGTGTCTGGACCTGGTGAGTTTCCCCGTGTTGAGTCAAATTAAGCCGCAGGCTCCACTCCTGGTGGTGCCCTTCCGTCAATTCCTTTAAGTTTCAGCCTTGCGACCATACTCCCCCCAGA